GAAGGAAGGTTGAGTAATCCACTTCCGTAGTGATATTGCCTCGGAAACCCAAGGAGGGGTCACTATGAGTTGGGGCCGATTTGATGGCACACAACAACAAGAAGAAGAAATGGACAGATTTCTAGAAACACACTACTTACGTAAACTAACACAGACAGAAGTAGAAAACTTGAACAGACCCACAGCAAAAGAAGAAATTAAATAAGTCGTAGGCATGCTAGTGCCTCCCATGCACTGTCTCTTTCAGAACTTGTACAATACCTGCTGAGGAAGATTTCATGATCTCTGTGTCACAGGGGAGAAAGCCCAGGCTCAGAGAGGTTGAGAGCGCTTGCCTATAGTCCACTTTGAAACACTCCACAAGTAGCCTACCCAGACTGACCCAGAGAAATATCCAGATGACTGACACCACTCGTGGCTTCCCCGGTGATACACTCAGGCAGAGCCAAGAGTGCATTTGGGGCCTAGAGAGAGATGAGGCTTAATAAGGCAGTTTGAGCACATTTAAGCCCTGGCGAGCTATGCTCAGCAAGATAAATTTTACCCCAAATGATGAATAGCCTTTGAGAAGGGGTGTGGAGCACGAATATGCCATAGTCTACTTCTCATCTAGAAGATTCTTTTGGGCTTGGTCATGTGGAGGATGGAAGCAGGTAACACTAAAAGAGGAGGGGAGTTAGGAAGATTCTGGAAGATTCAGGGGACAGAAGCCAGTCCCCCGGCAGGGCAGTGAGAAGAAACACAGATGGTATAGGAGAAAATGCTGCAGATGACTTAAAATGACCCTTACAAGACCCTAGTGGTACCTGCACTTCACTTGAGTACCAAGGAGATTGGAAGCTGTGTGAATGCAGACAGTTGTCGATCTTGTCCATTATAGCACAGTGGTTCAGAGTGCAGATTCTGGAACCAACTACCTGGGTTTGAATCCCAGCTCTGCCACTTCCTATGTCTGTGCCTTTGGGTGAGGCATTTGAACTCTCTGTACTTCACTTTCCTCATTTGTGAAAAAAGGGGATAATACCAGTACAGGTAGTTCCGGACTTAGGATGTATTTAAGTTATAAAGAACCACACTTATGAACATTTGTTTTGTTTTATTTTTTTGCATGTGTTTATCTCATCGTTAGTAAGATATACTACCTACAATGTGGCAGCCATATTTTGCTCCTGTTATTGTTCTCAGATGTTCATTTGGCAGATGTTCAAACATCAGTTTTATAAAGATACTGATAATAAAAGGCAATAATAATAAAAACTAAAAAGATAAGAAGTATTTGACTTACATCAGAAGTGACTTATGACGGAGTTGTCAGAATGTAACCCTAGCGTAAGTCGGGGATGACCTGTGCATACATTAACGGTGGTGTGAAGCGTTAAATCAGTTAACCCACATGAGTGCTTAGATCAGAGTGGTGGCACCTAACTAGCCTTGGACACATGTCAGCAGGTATTATTCCTAGTATCAGTGTGAGTATTACAATTAGCCATAAAGCTGAGGGCCCGGACTTAGTAAGGACTCAGTGGCTACTTGTTGAGCGAATGGCTGATGAGTGAGTGCATGAACTGCTGAATGCAGTCGCGGGTGGCCTGGCCCTGCCCCGCCACAGCCCCTGTTGACTGTCTTGCTCTTTGCTGGATGCAGCCTGCGAGCGCAAGAACGTGGAGGCAGTGAGGATCCTGGTGCAGTACAACGCAGACACCAACCACCGCTGCAACCGAGGCTGGACAGCCTTGCACGAATCTGTCGCACGCAACGACCTGGAGGTCATGGAGATCCTGGTGAGCGGAGGAGCCAAGGTGGAGTCCAAGAATGCCTATGGCATCACCCCTCTCTTTGTGGCCGCCCAGAGTGGGCAGCTGGAGGCCCTGAGGTTCCTGGCCAAGCACGGTGAGTGACTGAAGTCCCTGGGTCATGGCGTCCCAGGGGCAAAGCTGGGAAGGACATCAGAGATCAGTTGTAAGATTGCATCTTCCAGGAGTGCTGGGTTGAGAGCTGTGAGGTTGTGTAGGCCCAGTGGGAAATCGTGCTGAGATCCATCAGTGATGTCTGTAGTTACTTACCATCGCTCATCTAGTCCAACATCCTTGTTTTGCAAATGAGGAATCTGAGGCCCAGAAAGGGGAAGTGACTTGTCTAAGGTCATGTAGCAAGTCAGTGGCAGGATTAGCTAGATCTTTGGTCTCCTGACATCCCAACCACTTCTCTTTCCAGTATGTCACATTCAGAGCCAGAAGGAACCTCAGAGAAAAGTTAGGTCACCTCCTCGTTTTGTAAGTGATGAAACCAAAGACCAGAATGGGAAAGATTTATCTTAGGTCACACAGCAAATTAGTAGCAGAGCTGGGATTTGAACCTAGGTGTTTGGTCTCTGCCTGTGAAATATCTTTACACACATAACTGGGGAAGGTAAATAATATTACCTGTATTACAATGTCCAAGGAGCAGAAGACCCAAGATAATGGCAGATGTTCTTTTGGTCAATTCTCATCTCCCCAAAGATCTCCTCTGATTTTCTTACTATGGGATTTTTACTTCAGGGGAAGTGCCCCGGCCTGTCTAGCAACAGAGAGGCCAAAAATAACCGAGACCCTGGGGCTGAATTGGAATACTTTACTGCGGACCTTCTGTGTGTCAGACACTGTGCTTGTTACGAATCAAGATTGGGTCAATGGAGTTTTTCCCACAGCCTATGACATAGATACTATCTTCATCCCATTTTGTAATCCAGGAGACTGAAGGTCGGAGAGGTTAATGATTGGCTGAAGGTCTCACACAGTTACAGAGCCTGGGTCTGACCTGTATCCGTCTGTCTCCAAACTGTGTGCTCTCTCTCCACTGCGGGCCTGAGGGAGTTTCCAGCGCCGGGCTGTGTCCAGCAGAGCAGACTTTTCAGCCCATGCCTGAGCAGTTGGGGAAACAGACTCGAGGCGTTGCCTTCAGCCAGGACAAGTGTGGTCTGACCAGCCTGAGAACAAAGGGGCCCTGGCAGGGTCCTGGGGACCCAGGCCAGAGGGCCAGATATTCAGTGGGTACAGGGGAGCCAGCCAACTCTCAACATCTGTCCTGGTCTCTGAGTCAGGGTCTATCCTCTCCACGGCCTGGGTCTACTTTTAAATCCAAACATTTCTCTTTTGTGGAGCGGGCTTTGCTGGGGAGCCCCAGGCTTTCCAGGGCACCTGACTTTGAGAGTGTGGCTGAGTGTTAGAGCTGCTCGCTGGCTCTCCCTGTGGGGCACAGGGCAGAGTCAGCCTCCTGTGCCAGGTCCCTCTGCCCTGGAGAGTCACTGGCACTTGCTGAGCACCTGGGTGACACAGAAGCCAAGTGCTCGACTAGGAAGGTTGGCAGTTTGAACCCAGCCAGAGGTGCCTCCGAAGTCAGGCCTGGCAGTCTGCTTTGAAAGGTCCCAGGTTTTAAAGATCCTCTGTACACGTGGAGTTGCTGCTGGCAACCAAACAGCTGAGCATCTGCTCAGTCCCAGGCACTGTGCAAGGACACTCACTCTCATGACGTCATTCACTCCTCCCAGTAACCCCAAGATGTAGGCACTGTTATCCTGGTGGACGGATGGGGAGAGCCACACAGCTGGTAAGCAGTGAAATGGAAACTTTAACTGGTCCACGCCCTGTCTCTTTCCCCGAGACCAGGCACCAGTCTCACCATCACTGACAATTGACAACATCCCCAGAAAGTCTGAGATCAGCAGCATGATCAATGAGAGAGGAACTGTGGTTAACGGATGCTTCTGATTTCAGCCCCTGTCGACTTTGAACTGCCTCCATCCTATTTCCTATGGGAGTAAGGAGGCCAGGTGAACGGGCTGCACCTCCCCAGCAGAGGAACACCTGTGCATGCCAGTCCTCTCCTCCCCACCAGGAGATGGAGCAGGCGGAGCAAAGGGGGCTGAAGGCAGGCTGACTCCAGGCTCCACCCCTTCTCCTAGCAGTGAGCTTTGAGTGTTTCTTCAAAGGAGCCAAAAGCAACTCCCCTCTTACTCCTTGAAGCCAAAGAAGGACAAATCGGAGTTAAAAAAGGCATTGGGGTTTCCATCTCCTGGGGGCTGCCAGAAAACAACAGCACACGTGGGTGGGTTAAAAGGACAGTAACGTATTGTCTCACTTTTCTGGAGGCTGGAAGTCCAGATCAGGGGGTCAGCCGTGTTGATGCCTCTAGGGCTCAAGAGAGGAGCCGCTCTGTGCCTCTCTTCTAGCTTCTGGTGTTGCTGAAGTCCTCAATGTTCTGTGGCTTGTGGATGCTTGTGGGTGTGGCATCTTCCCTCGTGGATGTCTCTGTGTCCATTCTCCTCGTTCATAAGACAGGACTTGGAGGGACTAGGACTCACCCTACACCTGTCTGACTTTATATTAACTGATAACATCTTCGAGGAACCTATTGCCAACAAGGTCATGTTCACCAGGGGTGGTGGTGGTTGTTGTTATTTGCCATCTAGTCGGCCCCGACTCCTAGCGACCCCTCCTTGGATTTCCGAGGCAGTTATCACTACGGAAGTAGGAATGCCCAACCTTCCTTCCGAGGAGTGGCTGGTGGGTTTGAACCGCCAGCCTCCTGGTTAGCAGTCAAGTGTCTTAGGCACTATGCTACCAGAGTCACCAGGGGTTAGGACTTCAAAGCATCTTTCTGGAAGACACAGTTCAACTCGGCATGCCTCTGGGGCTGGGAAAGCCGGCTCCTACAGAGCGAGGGTGACGAGCAAGCCCTCAGCCATCCAGCATCTGGTTCAAGTTCCAGCTCTTCACTGATGAGCTGGGTGGTCAGGGGTGGGGGTTGCTAGGTTATCAATGTGACTTGGAGATGAGAGAAGAACCTTTTCTTACCTCTCAGGCCAGCTCTTCACAGACACAGCAGGTGTAGAGCATAGTACCAGGCATATCCTAAGTGTTCACGCTGGTGGCCCCTGGGTCTCAATGTTATGAACGGAGCTGGGGTCCTCAGGTGCACGCCTCCCCTCCGAGGGTCATTGTGGGCAGTCAAGCGGTTGAGTCAATTCTGCCTCATAGTGACCCTATAGGACAGAGTAGATAGGCTTTTCTGGGCTGTTATCTTTATGGGAGCAGAATGCCAGTCTTTTCTTCCATGGAGCTGATGTGTGGGTTCAAACCGCCGACCTTTTGGTTAACAGCTGAGCACTTAACTGTTGTGGCACCAGGGCTCCCTCCAAGGGTCAGAATATGGACGGGATTGTCTGATGCAGTGTGGTTAGCACGAGTGCCCAGCCCCGGCTGGTATTAGGTCCAGGATAGTGACTGCCTCCACCACTCATTTCTTGCTTCTCCCTTGCCAGGTGGCGACATCAACACGCAGGCCAGTGACAGTGCGTCGGCCCTCTACGAGGCCTGCAAGAACGTGCATGAGGAAGTGGTGGAGTTCCTGCTGTCACAGGGTGCCGACGCCAACAGGGCCAACAAGGACGGCATGCTGCCTCTGCATATGGCCGCCAAGAAGGGCAACTACAGGTCAGCTCAGCCCTGCCCCCAGTGCCCTGCCCCCAGGCCGCCCCCTGGGAGGCCCAACAGTCAGCAAGTGTGAAGAGAATGCCTCCAAAAACTGCGACAATTACAATAGGTTGGGCAATCCTACTTCCCTAGTGATACTGCCTCGGAAGCCCAAGGAGGGGTCGCTATGAGTCGGGTTTGACTCGACGGCACATAACAACAACAACAACAACAGCAAATAGCGTAATAAGGATATCATGGGTGTTAAAGTAGAGGGTCAGTGAAAAAGGGGAAGACCCTCAGAGACGGACTGACACAGTGGCTGCATAGCAAGGACTGAGAGGCTGGGGCAGGACCGGGCAGGACCGGGCAGGGTTTAGTTCTGTTGTCTACGGGGTCACTGTGAGGCAGAGCCAACTCCATAGCACCTAACAACAACCACATAACAAGGAAGCCAACACTTACCAGTACTGGATGCTAGAAACATAGTCACTCTTTTCAACAGCTCTATGAGGCAGGTGCTGTTATTATTTTCGTTTTTCAGATGAGGACGCTAAGACAGAGAGGTTGAGTGACTGAGTTCAATTTCTCCAGATGTCACCTGTATGAGAGAGTTCCATGTGGGGGCTCAGATGTGAGTCTGGACTACTGGATATTTCTGCTAGTCATCCTCCATTCCAACCCCATTTCCCCAAGGCTGAGAGTGGCAGGCTGCTTTGGGAAGGCCACCCAACAAGGCGTTAAAGGCCCTTTGCCACAAGACAGGGCCCACAGCCAGGCAAGCTCCAGGATTTTCATTCGCTCTCAGGCTTTTGGCATTAGTGGCCTTCTCCACATCCCATAGGGTGTTTGGGGATCTGATGCGACATTCCATAGGCATTCATTCTCGGCCATCTGCCAAACACTCTGCCAGTCCACAGCAAGGAAAACCGAACCCAGGGCCAGGCAGCTGGTCTTAGGGTTTACCAGATGGTGGTTTCTTCTGAACATGCTTAACTGGAAGGGGTGATGCTAGGGCATCACTGAGATAGGAGCCGCTGAGATCCACACATTTTGTCGTTGTGTACTGTTGAGTCAATTGGTACAACAGTTAAGTGCTCCGCTGCTAACCGAAAGGTCAGCAGTTCAAACCCACCAACCACTCTGTGGGAGAAAACACCTGGCCATCTGCCCCAGTAAAAATGACAGGCTAGGAAACCCCATCGGGCAGTTCTAGTCAGTCTTGGGGTTGTTATGAGTCACATGTCTGAGTCACCAACAATTGCACTTTCTCCTGTTTTCCATTTCCAGTTTAGCAAATGCATCTGATGAAATTACAGGCCAACCTCAAAACATGTTTACTAGGAAATGCTTTAGTTAAACAAGATCCGATGCCCCAAGATTCCTTTAAAGTGAATTTAAAGTAGCCTCCAAGATCAGAGGTTCACAACCTCGGCTGCATGCTGGATCCCTGGGAGTGGGTCTCCTCAGAGATCCTGGTGTACGTGGTCCGGGGTATGGCCAGGGATCTGGGAGTTTGAGAGCCTTCAGGTGACTCTGCTGTGGAACTGGGGTAGACAAGCTGTCCTTGGCAGCCACTTTCTGGCCAACATGAGACATGTTGATGCTGTGGTTACCGTTGGCTCCTCTCATGACGACTTTATAGAGAAACGTTGCCTGGTCCTGGGCCATCCACATGACGGTTGGCGTGTCTGAGTCCACTGTTGTACCTCTGCAGTCCCTCCATGTTGTTGAGGGGTTCCTTCATCTTCACCAACCTTCTGCTTTACCAACCATGACAAGTGTTTCTAGCGGTTGGTCTTTCCTGACGTCCAAAGCAAGTGAGCTGAAGTCTCATTGCCCTCCCTTCTAAGAAGCATTCCGGCTGCATTTCTCCTAAGACTGAAAAACATCAAACATAGACTTGCATTTTGAGTCTCACTTCTGACTCGCTTGTTTTTAAATATTCCTTCTCCTCTGCTTCTAACTGAGGTCACCTTGGCTGTATTTTCTCGATCTTTGCTGCCCAGTTTCCTGGAATAAGGCAGGACGAAGACCACGTAGTAAATTATATTTAAAAGCAGTTTATAAAGCACATTCACAAACAAGTTAGTATCGCCATTTTTTAAAAGGGAAACTGAGACTCAGACCTCAAGGACACACAGATAACAAGGGGGGATTCCCAGGCCCAAGCCCTGGCCTCACCCCCTTCCACTGAGGGTCCTTCCGCTGCAGGAAGTGGTTACCACATGGGGGGAATGATGGAAGTTTGCATCAGAGCTTCTCAAGGTGTGGTCTTGGGTCTCCTGTGTCAGGGCTCCTGGCCCTCCCTGATACAGGTCATAGGGCCCAGAATCTGTATTTGAATGCTCTCCCCACTTGGTTCTGAGTTGCCTTGGGTTTGAGAACTGGTGGTTGGCATCCTTGAAGCGCCACTCTCTCTCTGAGGACCCAGTGACTCCAGAACATTCAGCCCAGCCGGCATGCCAGGCACCTGCCCCTCCAACGCCCTCCTGCACGGAGTCACTGGGAGGCCCTGCTCCCAGGCTGAGCAGAGGAAACGAGCTGGCACCTCCTGGAAAAGCTGCAGACTTTCCTCCAGAGGGCAGCCCTGGTGGGCAGGGGCCCTGCTGGGCCTGGGGAACAGCCATGGGCAGACTCCCCACCGTGGGGCCTTTCCAGGGTCCAGCGTAAGCATCACATGGGCTCAGAGAAGAGGGAACTCCACTCCCCCAACACACCATGCACGCACACACACACACACGTACTGTGCGCATATGCACACCTGCACATGCATGCACACACCTGCACACATGCATGAATGCACACACACAAGCACACAGGCAGGGTTGACATGCAACAGGCCAGCAGCATTGGCAGCGGAGCCATCTGTGGGTGGTTGGTTCTCACGTGAAACTTAAGTCGGCTGTCAAAGCTACACTAAACTCTGACAAAGTTCACACTGCTATGGCCAGAAGTTCCATGTTTGGTGCAGCAGGGGAAGTATGGTGCAATCCCCGTGTAGGTCAAGACACCAAGAGCCACCCATGATGATTGAGTCCATCAGTTAACGCTTCAAAAGTGGCTTCGGTGCAAGATACTGAATTGTGATTTCATCCCACCTTGCTGGATGTTATGAGGATTAAACCCACTGCTATCAAATCGATTCTGACTTACAGTGACTCTATAAGACAGAGTAGAACTGTTCCATAGGGTTTCCAAGGCTGTACATCTTTACAGAAGCAGACTGCCTCATCTTTTTCTTGTGGAGTGGCTGGTGGGTTCGAACCACTGACTTTTTGGTTGGTAACCGAATGCCTTAACCACTGTGCCACCAGAGCTCCTTTCAACACGTAAGACTTTATCTTATCTTCAAAAGCAGTGTCAGTGGAAGATATCCAATTGTGATATCATTCCACCTTGCTGGGTGTTGTGAGGATTACAGGAATGAAGTACTCAGCTCTTGGGTTCACTTCCAGGTCAACAGAATCAAACACGTAGACACTTTAAATAGCGCCCGGCACTTAGGAAGCGCTCAGCAATGTCATTACCGTAGCTGTTATTTAGGAAGGTAAAGCCCCACAGGGGCTCAATGAAAGGACATCAGGCTTGGTAGAGGGTCATCGAAAAAGAAGAAGACCCTCTATGGGATGGATTGGCACGGGGGCTGTGACAATAGGCTCAAGCTTAGCAATGACTGTGAGGATAGCATGGGGCCTGGCAGTGTTTCCTTCTGTTGTGCTTGGGGTTGCTATGAATTGGAACCCTCTAGACCACACCTAACAACAACAACTACATTATTATTATTAGGTGTCCCTGGGTGATGCAAACGGTTGAGCGCTCAGCACCTTATAAGAAAGACTTGGCAATGGACTCCTGAAAGATTGGCCATCGAAAGCCCTGTGGACACACATGGAGTTGCCATGAGTTAGAGTTGACTCAACAGCAACTGGGTGATGATGATGATGCTTAGCAGCATTAGGGTTTTTATGGTTAACTAACCCTCTGGTATAGATGAAGCAGGTGTAGCTCAGAGAGGTTAAGCGACATGCCTGAGATGGCCCAGCAATGATGGGCAGAGCTGGCTGTGCAACCCAGGTCCAGCTCTCTCCCCATTGCCAGCTCCAGTTACAGCCTTCATTTCCCATCACCCAGTGCTGGGCCCCCATGATGCAAGGACAGCCTACTCTGGCTCACAGCTATCTGCTCTATCCCCTGCAGGGATCAGGTTCAAGGACAGCCTACTCTGGCTCACAGCTATCTGCTCTATTCCCTGCAAGGCTCAGGTTCAAGTAGGACATCAGATTCGGGGATAAGCATTCTGAGCAGGGAGCCAAGGCCTGGGGCAAGGGGAGAGGGATCCAGTTAATACTTGTGGGTCCTGGTCCAATGACCAGGGCAGGGGTCCAAGGTCAGAGGTAGCCCTGAGCCCTGCAGACCCTGGTGTCTGCCACACTGCTGTGCAGGGCTCAGGGCAGCCCTGAGCTGGGACTGCTCTGGTCTCAGGGCCTGATGGACAAGGCTGAGTTGGCAGGGGGGAGGGCAGCAGACAGGGAGCCAGGTCTCAGAGGTATCTGGGGTTCTATTGGGCAATGACCATCTTTGCTCCTCTTCATAAGGTGTAGTTTGAGCAGTAACACTCTGTGATCCCAGGCCTCCCCATGGAAGCAGTAGGAAGACCCCTGACCGTGTCAACCACTCTCCTCGGTTAGGAGGAGCAGGGTACTGTGGGGAGGCCTGGCCCTGGGAGCCTGGAGACCAGCACTCTGCCCTGGCTTTGCTTGTCTGACCTCACTCCCTTCCCCACCCCACACCCAGGCTGCATTTTTACCCTTGGTAAAGTGGGAGGGCTGGTCCCATTGATCGCTAGCCCCATCCAGCATTGCACATTTACCTGCAAGGGTCTGAAGCCCTTTCTGAATGATACGGTCCCACAGAAGCAGGGGACAAGGAGATGACTGCACTGGGTTAAGAGGACAATGCTTGGGGACCCCGGGCAGTGGCCAGTCAGTTCCCACATTCCTGCCACTTTCCCTTAGATGGTCAGGGAGCTGCTGGAGACCAGCTGTGACCCAAGAGAGATACCAGCCCCATCTGGCTGGAGGCCCTGGGAGGCTATGCCCACTGCTCTTTCCCGAGCTTGGGCACGTTACAGCTGCCACAGAGCATTTGTTGGCAGTGGCCACTGTCCAGGGCCAGGCCCTGCCTGTGACCAGCACCTCCGCAGAGGGAGGTCAGGCCACCTTGATTGCCACAAGCAGAAATTGAAGGCAATTAGTCCCCTGGGTGTGCACAATTCCTTTTGTGGTTTTATAGGCAGATTTTAGCCAACAATAAAAATACTTTCCACTGAGATCCTAGTGGGAGGTCATTGGCATCAAATTTCCTGGAAGTCAGAGGGAAGCCGGCGTGCCAGGAGGCATGGGAACGGGCCTAGTGGCACCTGCTTCCCTCTCCACAGTCACATCCTTGGAGCCCCAGGCAGGGCTTGGAGGTCACCTGTCAGCAGCAATTGGACGGATTAGGGTGGCAGGGGCTTGTCCTAGCAGGCAGCAGGGTGTCTGGGAGGAGAACGCAAAGACAAGGGGTCAAGAACCCTAGGCTGCACTGTGGTCTTTGATTAGTCACTCTGGGTCTCTGAGCCACACTTGTTACAATGAAGGCCACAAACCTGCTGTAGCTCAGGGTGACGGAAAAACTGACAGGTGCCTTACTGGATTGTGAAGATTGCCAAGTCCCTGCCATATCAATGGTCACCTTGACTGCTACACGAGAAGGCCAGACTGCCTAGCTGTGGTTTACTTACCAGCTGTGCATCCTTGGGCAAGTCGCATACCCTCTCTGGGCTCCCATTTGCTCATCTATAAAATGAGGGTAACACTAGTGCCCACGTCACAGGCCTGTGGGGAAGACTGAATAAACTAATGCATGTGAAGTGGTGAGAGTGGTGCAGGGGAGCCCCGCCAGGGGCTGTGGCGGCTCCAGGCTCAGCAGCAGCAGCCCAGTGCTTTGCAGGCCAAAGGCAGGGCAGAGAGGCGACAAGAGGCTACAATAAGCCTTCAGGGGAGGAGGCATTTAGACCCACAGAGAGGAGAGAAGGTGAGGTCATGATCACAGAGGGCTGCCTGGAGCCCCGGGAAGGAATGACTGGGACCAGACACATTTGCCCCCTTCCCTCCCTCAAAACCTGGCACCTTTCTCAGGGCCCCAAGAGTGCAGGATAGCTCAGTTCTGGAATTATCAAAAACCGAAAACCAAACCCACTGCCATCGAGTCAATTCTGATTCATAGTGACCCTCACTGGGTTTCCGAGGCAGTAAATCTTTACAGTCCAATCTTCCTTCTGAGGGTTTGAACCACCAGCCTTCTGGTTAGCAGCCATATGTCTTAGGCACCGTGCCATCAGAGCTCCTTCTAGAGTCACAGGAGGGTTCAAACCTTGGCTAACCTCTCTCGAGCTGGGCAAGTCCCTTAAGCTCTCTGAGTCTTGGTGCTTCTCATCTGCAAAATGGGACTCAAGATGTAGTCTTGGGGTGTTGTAAAGATTAAACCAAATGATTGAAACCAATGATTAGCTGGTTCCTGGCACACAGTGAGCGCTCAGATATGGCTGGCTGCTCCTGTCCCTTCTCCCTGACTGTCCCACCCTCCTGGGCAGGGTCCAAACTCCACCACTAGGTTCTACTGCCGGCCGCAGGGAGTGGCTTGGATAGTCACCGGTTTGGGACCCCGCAGTCAGTTCTCCAGATAACCGAGCCTAAACCAGTCAGTGGGAGATTCTTGATACAGGCCAACCTGGGTGAGGCTTAGATGAACTCAAGAGTTTGAAGGTCAACGTTCTGTGTTTGAAACCCAGATCCACACATTAGGGACTCGGAGACCTTGGGAAAGTTGTTGAAGCGCTCTGTATCCAGTAACCTGGAGACAGAAACGGATCCCCTCCTCTGTGGGATCATTGTGGGTGTGGCTGGCCCTGCAGCCCTCCGGCAGATGGTGGGCACTTTCCTCTCCCCTACACTGAGAGTGGGAAAGTGGCTTGGCTGAGCCCCAGAGCGTCTCCTGCCTGCGGGGCCAGCACTCTTCCCTGCCCCACACCCTGTGGCTGGAAAGTGGCTGGGCTGAGCCCCTGGGTGCCCCCTGCTGGCGGGCGGGTCCCGCCGTGCTGGCAGCCCTGTGACCGCGCATGCCCCGCCCGCAGGATCGTGCAGATGCTTCTGCCGGTGACCAGCCGCACGCGCCTGCGCCGCAGCGGGATCAGCCCGCTGCACCTGGCGGCAGAGCGCAACCACGACGAGGTGCTCGAGGCGTTGCTAGACGCGGGCTTCGACGTGAACGCGCTGCTGGCGCCCGAGCGCGCGCGCCTCTACGAGGACCGGCGTACCACCGCGCTCTACTTCGCAGTGGTCAACAACAACGTGCACGCCACCGAGATGCTCCTGCTGGCCGGCGCCGACCCCAACCGCGACATCCTCAACCCGCTGCTCGTGGCCATCCGCCACGGCTGCCTGCGCACCATGCAGCTGCTGCTGGACCACGGCGCCAACATCGATGCCTACATCTCCACGCACCCCACCACCTTCCCCGCCACCATCATGTTCGCCATGAAGTACCTGTCGCTGCTCAAGTTCCTCATGGACCTCGGCTGCAACGGCGAGCCCTGCTTCTCGTGTCTCTATGGCAACGGCCCGCACCCGCCAGCCCCCACGCGCTCCAGCCGCTTCAACGACCTGCCCACCACCGAGAAGGGGCCTGGTGTGGTGCAGGTGGGCGGTGTTCCGGGGCCGCGGGTGGGCGTGGTGGGCGTGGCCTGTGGGGGTAGTAGGGCCCACAAAGTCACCAGTAGGTGTGGTCCAGGTGGGCGGGGCGCGGGGGATGTGGGATTGGATGAGCGCACCTGGAGGCTAAGGATCTGTGGGGAACACGCTCTGAGACTCTGTAGACTAGAGGTTAGCATGTTTAGAGGCAGTGTAGACCAGTGGTTAATGTGTCTTGGACAGAGTGTGGACTTGGAGAAGCAGCTTGTTTTGGTTAGTGTAGACTGGTGGTTAACAGGCTTTGGAGGCAGTGTAGACTAGTGGTTAAGACTAGTTACACTAGTAACTAGTTTCTGAGAACCTCATTTGGTGGTTAACACGCCTTGCAGGGAGTGTGGACTAGTGGTTAACTGCGTTAACAGTGCCAACATGCCCAACATGGGCAGAGATTAGAGTCACACGGACAGTTCAATCCTTTTCTTGGTCTGTGGTCTTGGAGAATTTAAGGCGCTAACAGTGGATCAAGGGATTGGTGGGCAACTCTGTGTAACTGAGGAACTTGTTACCCCTACAGCTTGAAAATGATGCCAGGTGACCAGGATCTGCATGGGGTGAAGCCAATTGGGATAAGGTCAGATGAGGTGCAGGAAGTCACAGATCCCTGGCAGGACCTGTCCGTGGTGCTGACTTTAAAAGTCAGAACTGAGGGTGAAAGAAAGAAATCTCTTTGGAATAATCATAATGACTAATGGCCATCATATGAGCACCTACTGTGTGCAAAAAGGAGCCCTGGTGGTGCTTGGGTTAAGTGCTCAGCTACTTACCAAAAGGTCGGCAGTTGGAACGCAGTTTCCCTGCAGGAGAAAGATATGGCAGTCTGCTTTGGTGGAGACTCACCGCCTTGGCAGCCCTGTGGTTACTCTGTCCTGTGGGGTCATTGTGAGTTGGAATTAACTTGATGGCAGTGGGTTTGGCTCTTTGGTTTTACTCTGTGCAAAGCAGTTTATGATTATATTACCTTAGTGTTCATATAACCATTTTATGGAGCAAACATTTTTTTTTTTATGGTGCAAACAGTTAATGCACTCAACTGCTAACCTAAAGGTTGGAGGTTTGAGTCCACTCAGGGGCACCTTGGCAGACAGACTTGTGGATCTGCTTCGGAAAATCAGCCATGGAAAGCCTGGTGGAGCACAGTCTACCCAGCCACCCATGAGGTGGCCATGAGTTGGAATTGACATGGAATGGGTACTGGTCTACCTACTTTATAGACAAAGAAATTGAGGCTCAGAGAAGTCATCAATACGACTTGCCCAAGGTGTGTGCCCAACTTCCCTCGGGCAGCAGCAGCCTGTGTTGCTTAGAGAATGTGGAGGATTTCTAGAGCTGGGTCCTAGGCCGGCTTTGCCCAGTGTCTGCCTTAGTTTCTCCACCTGTCGGATGAGCTCCTAAAGCTGGGGTGTGCACTCTCTTCCAGTTCTGCGAGATCCTCTCGGCCCCAGAGGTGAGCCGCTGGGCGGGGCCTATCATTGACGTGCTCTTGGACTACGTGGGCAACGTGCAGCTCTGTTCGCGTCTGAAGGAGCACATTGATAGCTTTGAGGACTGGGCCATCATCAAAGAGAAGGCAGGTAGGACTGTTGCCACTACTGCTGGCAAGTCACCCTTACCTGACGCAGACGCTGGGACTTAGGGCCGGGACTGTTACTAATATTTGATGAGCAATGCCTTGCCTGTGCTGTGTTACACACAGGGTGTCAGTTAGTCCTGGATTTACAAATAAGGGAAATGGCCCTCAAGGGAGATTCTGCCACTGGGGCCAAGGTCACACAGCTGGTTAGTGGCAGAGCTGGGGTTCAAGCCCAGGTTTGACCAACCCCCAAATCTGTGCTCTTTCCATGATGTTTTGAACAGTTCCAGCTCTGTGAGCAGGGTCGGAGCCTTGGGGTTAAGTTGCCTGTGTCTGTGGGTCAGCAGGAGGCGGTGTAGCAGAGGGAGGAGAGAACAGAGGTCCATGAAGTGCATCGAAAGCACTTGGGCATCTTGTGAAAATGCAGATTCCAATTGGGCAGGTCTGGGATGGGGCCTGAGAGTCTGCATTCCAGCAGGCTCCCGAGTGGCGTGATGCTGCTGGTCCAAGGGTCACGCTTGGAGCAGCGTCGTTCTAGGAGCAGAATCCCGGAGCTCTGGAGCCCAGCTTTGCCAGGGACTATGTGACTACGGACAGGGCCTCTCCTCTCCTCATCCCCATCTGTACAGTGAGGAGGTTGGGCAGATTCGGGGACCAGCTCCTTTCCTGCTCTGCCAACCTGTGGTGTGGTCCCACCGTCTTGGTCTGGCATAGCTTTTCAGCTCTAGGTGTGTGCAGATGTGTGGGCCTGACACAGTGAAGTAGGGTTTGGCCAACGTGCAGCTATTGTGTTCAGTGTAGATGGGGCAGCCTGGCTAAATGAGGCCGAGAAGGCGAGAATCCCTCTTAGGCATTCTGAGCTCACCTGGGCAGGTGAAATGTGAGAAGCAGTTAAACTAGATGCCACAGCTGACGGTGGGAAGCGGGCACCACTCAAGGAATTTCAGCTCCTCTAGGGCATTTTCCTAGGGCATTTGGCTGCTAATCAAAAGGTTTGAACCTACCAGCTGCCCCATGGAAGAAAAATGGAGCAGTCTACTTCTGTAAAGATACACAGCCTTGGAAACCCAGTGGGGGCCACGATGAGTCAGAATTGCCTTGATGTCAGTGAGCTTGTTTGTTTGTTTAGAAGGCCTTCTCCAGCTCTGGGGACATGGGCTTGTCTCTTGCAAAATGTTTGTCAATCGTGTGGCATGGAGACGGACCTGCAGCAAGTTATCATCCCACAGCTGCTGCTGTCCTCCCAGTGTGTGTGTGGGGTGTGGTCTAGCGCTTGCAACCCCATTGTTTGCCCATGTGCCCCACCCCACCAGGCTCTCATTTAGACTCACCTCAGCTCCCCCTTGATCTCCATGCCTCTTTGAACCCAAACCTCCTGTAGGATTTTTCTTTGCCCAAAATGCCCATAAAGAACTTGAACTGAGCCCTTTGTTAAAGTTACAGGGGGTGGGGAGGCATTTGCTTGCCTGTTCTTGTGGGGCACAGTTCTAGATGCTCAGGAAACGTCAATGAACTGGTGGACAGCTGGTTGCTGTCACCATGACCCTTGGTCACTAGAGAGTAGAATGGTCCACACTAGATGCCAGCCCCACCTCTTAGTTCCCCTCTTCCTCTTCTCTCTAGACAAGTGGTGGTGTTAGTTTCTGAGTAGTGGTCACCAACCCCATGTGTGAAGAATAGAACTGCTCCTCGAGGTTTTGAAGGTGACCTTTCAGATGCAGATTGCCAGGCCTTTCTTCTGAGGTGCCTCTGAGTGGCTTTGAACATCCAACCTTTTGGTTAGCAGTTCAGTGCTTAACCGTTTACGTCACCCAGAGAGTCCCTCTAGAGAAGGGTAATCCCTTAGAACTAAACAGTGTCCCAGGGAAAAACATTCAGAATCCTTAAATGCTCTAAATATTTATTAACAAATGGCACACAGAGTTCTTGACCAATACCCACTCTGGTTACTTCAGAGCCTATCCTCTACCTGCAACTGCCCTCCCACGTGGCTTTTCATTCAATGCAGTGGTGCTGATGTCATTATTCCAGGCAGGAGGGTAGGCAGAGGCAGAGGTGGGTGGCATCATAAGCCCAGGACCACATGGAGATTCAATAGCTAGCAGGAGCCCTGGCTGGCCTTCGAGGCTCTAGAAAAGTGCCAAGCTTCCCAGAGGGGAGGGTCTGCCCTGAGGGAGATCAAAGGGCAAGGGCAATGTCAGAAACTCAGGAACACTGGCCCAGTGCAGAGTTCTCAGAGCTGAGTGAATGGCACAGGCATCCTTGCTGATGCCCAGCTGGGTGACACTCAGGCACACGGCCACTCTACCGCCTCCACACACTGTACGCCCCAGTCTTCCCTCGGCACGCCCTGACTCCCTCCGCAGTGCCCTCTCTGCTCCTCTTGCTTGAAATACCCTTGTCTAGGAAACTCCTACCCACCCGTCAAGACCCAGCTCAGGTGGCACCATTTGGCCGATGGCACCCAGAGCCTCTGGGAAGGCTGCTCCATTCCTCAACCTGGAGCACAGGGCCAAGCCCTGCAAAGGGGCTCAGCACGTGGTTGTTGAATGCAGGTGTGACTGACTGAATGGATGACATTCTTTAGTTCAGCAAATACGTTCTCTGTGCCAAGCCCTGTGCCCATCACTGCCCAGTCCCTGCTCATCCTTCCCTCCTCCCCATACCTCCCTGCCCCAGCTGAAAAAGCTGGTCTGAATGAGGGCTCCCAGGAGGCCTTGCGAGGAGGGCAGCCACTGGTTGGGGCCAGACAGCCTATGGGATTCTGCAGCCTGCTGGGAGCTTCCCAGTCCCTGGGCCCTGGCCCCTGAGCACCAGATGGAAGCCCAGTGCTGAGTTCCATGTCATGGGGTTGCTTAAGAGGCCCCATTCTCTGATTCCCTTTGCTAAGGCTGTTTGGGGTCCAGGCTATGTGTAGAGGCCAGAGCAGGGGGCAAGGAGCTGGGAGATGCATGCTCCCCCTGAGGTGTGATTGGGGACAAGCCTTATAACTTCCCTAAGCCTCAGTTTCCTCATCTGTGCAATGGGGTTTTGGTCCTTATCCAGTCTACTTACGTGGGCTGTGGGCATCAGTGAGGAGTGACAGGTTGGAAGGTGCTTGGCCAGGTGTTTTGGGTTGGCAGGGACTGGAGCTCAGAGCCAGGGGGAGTCTAGGCCCCACACCCTTATGTGGCTCCTTCAGCTGGTGCCTCCCACATGCTGGGGTGGTGGATGCAAACCCTTTGCAGTCAGGGATCCACACCTCTCTTCCCTCCTCTTTCCAGACCCTCCACGACCTCTGGCTCACCTTTGCCGGCTGCGGGTGCGAAAAGCCATTGGGAAATATCGGCTCAAACTCCTGGACATGTTGCCGCTGCCTGGCAGGTTGATTAGATACCTGAAGTATGAGAACACCCAGTGACCGGGGCCATGGGCATGATACAGTGGCATCTCCGTTTGTCTTCACTAAGTCTCAGGATGGTGCTGTCCCCAAGTCCAAGGGGATCTGGTGACAGACGAGGCTGCAGGCTGCCTCCCCTTTGGCCAGGGCTTGAGGTCTTGTGGTCATGAGAGGTCTCTGGGCCAGAGCTCTGGCCACAGCAGAGGACAGAAAGTGTCAAGTAAGAGAGAAGTCATATCTTGTCAGACCAGTGAGTAGATCCCACACTTCCTTTGCCATCGGGAATGGCAGAGACCTCCGATCCTGGGGCCAGAGAGGCCTGCTGAGGCAGGGGGACCAGCAAGGGACTCAGCTAGAGGACTTTTAGGGACGAGTTTGCATTTCCAGGACAACCTCACTGCAGATTCCCGGGTGCCTCTCCCCCTCTTCTCTGGGAAGTCCTCCCCCTGATTCTTAGCTTCTCCCTGAAGATGTAGCCCAGGGCCCCGCAGGGAGGCCTCTGGTCGCGGGGGCTGCATTCTGTGCAATGAACGCTGCATGGCCGACGCTGTGCCCGGCCCAGGCCTCTCACCAGACTCCCCCAAGGCCTGTGGTCCTCAGTGCTGCTCCTGGTGGGAGAAGGGGCTGGCAGGGGTAGGGACAGAGCTCCATGTCACCTTTGCTTGAGATTATGAAAGATCACGGAGGTGTGTCCTTCACTCACCAGGAGAGACCCACCGGCCGGGGGAGAGGGGGGCAGACCTGCTGTTGGTTTTTCTCTCTTGGTTCAATCACCATGGAAACCAGAGCTTTATTGTAAGCGGGTGTCGGTGCCCACAAGTCTCCTGACAGACACTGGGGTTGTCCTGCACACACATGTTTCCTGGCACTGTCTTCATGCGCTGCTCACCCCTGTTTTACTATAAAAATGAGACACGAGGGAAAAAGAAAAAAAAAAATAAAAGTAAAAATGATCTAGATGCTTCCGTGAGCAGAGGTGCTGGAGTGACGGCCTTCGTCGTCCCAGCAAAGGCTCTGGACTTGGGAGTGTATGCAGCTTGTTCCCTTTGTGGCCTCCCTCTGTGGGCTGATGGGCAGGTGAGATTGGGCAGAGCAAGGTCCCAGAGCTGGTGTGTCCCGTTTCTATGGAAACAGTAGGGACTCATCAGTGGTCTTTTCGAAAGTGCTGACAGCCCCCTGAGTCTGGACCACTCCGCAGGGCTGTCGGAGCAGACCGCCTCACCGAGGTGTCCCCCTGTGGCCTCTTTCTGAGCTTGGTCTGCGGGAGTGCAGAGCACTGGGCCCACGTTTGGCTCTGTCATTGGCTTGCCCCTCCACGGCCTCAATTTGCTCATCTGCACAGCAGAGCACGGTGCTGGGTGGCCCCTAGTGACCTTGTGGCTCTGACCTGCTGGGTTTCCATGGAATCAATAAATCCCAGGGTCTGTGTGAAGAGGAAAACACCTGCCAAGGAGCACTTCCCAGCCACGGGTCAGAGGGACTTGGCCACGTCACACCCACTCCCTTGGGGTAAATACGGAAACAGACCCAGAGAGAGGAAGGGGCTTGACTGGGCACACACAGTGGGTGGCCATAATCCCAGGCTACCTTGCTGCAGACGGGCAGAGGCTGCAGGAACCCTCCCTCTGCCGCCGGGGGTGGGGGCGCTCCAGCCGGAGGGCCCAGGCAATGTTCCCAGGCAGGTTCAGCCTATCATCCGGAGGCAGCTGGCTGTTAAGGCCTTGCTGGCTCCCCAGTGTTTAATCTCAGATGCCGCAGCAGGGATGTTAGGCCGGCAGAATGGGCCTGGGATCATTGGGGTGCGTGTGGGGCAGGGTGGGTACCAGGCAACGGAAGTAGGCATTTCATAGATGACCTTAAGTGCTCGGGCCTGATGGGCAGGGGCCATGTCTCCCCAGCTGAGAATTCTCCGCACAGGTCATAGGGGTTGCTGCTCCAGGGGGGTGGCCCTGCAGGAGGTGAGAACAAAGAGGTATATGGGCGGTGTGGGGTGGAGGCCCAAGCCCTGCATTCTGCTTTGACATCACCTGTAGGAAACCCTTCCTGTCCCTGGGACCCCACCTTGTCCCTGGGACTCCTACCCTGTCCCTGGGTGGGGGTGCACTGGGACCATATTTGAGTTCTTACAGTATGCATATGCAGACCTGAGGCCAGACCACCTGGTGAGAGGCACTGCTCAGGGCCCTTCCCCCCTCTCCTCCAAGCCCTGCCCAGCCTTAGTGTCTCAAATCCTTGCCTCCCACCCCACAACTCAGCTGCCCAAAGGTTACTGGCCAGCCTGGGCCCTGGGCCTGCCCCTCAGGGTCACTTCTTGCACCCAGGGCTCCATGGCTTAAGCAGCTTGGTACATACTTACACCATCACTCCTGCCAAGACCCCCACAACCACCACCCTCACTTCATAGCAGCCCAGAGGCTCAGAGACTTCACAGCAGCCCAGAGCTCAGGAAATCCTGAAAGTTGGGCCCTGGGGCAGTTCCACTCTGTGGGCGGAGCTTCGACCCAGTGTGGGGTGTGAGACTGAATAGATGTGCGTTCTGGGGAACGTGTGTGTGTGTGTGTGTGTGTGTGTGTGTGTGTCCCCGCTTGCTTCCACCCTGAGGAACCATGCTGGACAATGTCTTTGTGAAGAGCCTCCTGACTTTCCAGTGAGTGGATCTCAGGTTGAGCCCGAGTGGGCTGTGAATGGGGACAGGCCGGGTTTGGACCTTGGACCCAGGCACGGCGGGCTCAGACATCACCCTAGAAATCCCAACTCCCAGGAGCTGGGCTCCAACTCTGGGGGTGTGGTTGGTTGGATGGTCTGAGCACTGCATTCCTGTGGGGTACACCATCTGTGATCATCATTGAGATAGCATGTGGCAGGACCTCCAGATGCCACTGTGGTGGTTTGTGCAGGGTTTCAGCACTCAGAGAGGTTAAGGAACTTGCCCAAGATCACACAGCTTATAGGCGGCAGGGCCAGGATGAGACACGGTCCAGGGCCCATGCTCCTAACTCTGGACACTTAAGAGGGCCCAAGACACATCAGAATGGATCTGAAGGAGTTGCTGCAGTGACAGACTCTTATTGCTCCTTAAGACCACAGTGGTTTGAGGCTCGGTGTCCCACCTGAGGACCCCAAGTGCTGGATCCTTGGTCCAAACAGCTCTGTGTCTGTGTGGTGGCCTCTGTGGCTCGGGGGGCCTCTGAGGGCATCAGACAGAAACCACCAGAAACCCACCAGCCGCCTGGAGCAAGCAGCCCTTCCGTGTGGACTCATCCAGGAGAACCCAGAGCAGAAACAAACAGCGTGGGAAGGGCCCTTAGCCATCACTGGAGACCTGTGTTAGGAAGGACTGAGTCCACCTCCGAGCCCCAGGGCACAGAGTCCTGTGGGCCATCGGTGATGCCTGCCTCAGCTGCAGAAGGGACAGACGCCTCTCCTCGCTCTCCCTGAGCCGGTCCCCATTTTACAGATGTGGAAGCTGAGGTACAGAGCAGAGAACTGGCCAGCATCCTGCCGCTAGTTTGGCTCGGTGTGTCAGTTACAAGCTGTGGGCTGACACAGTGAGCGGCCGGCTCCCCTGGTGAGCCCGCCTGCGGCCGTGGAGCAAGCTCTGGCCTGTGTGCAGGGAGAGGCCCTCCGGTGGCTTTGCTAGCTGGGCACATAGTCCCATTGCTGAGCTGCCTGGTGTGTGCCAGGTGCTGTGCCAGGCCTGGGAATCTGCGCTCACCACACAGCATTACTCTCTTTTCATTGTTTGCTCTGTGAACATTGAGCCACAGACTATGTTGGAAAGAGGAATGGTTTGGTCAAATACATACTTTGTCCGTAAGGGGCTGAACCTTGGTTTTCCCTGGTTCTTCTCTCTGACTGAGAGCCGGGCAGGACCACCATGCACAGCCTCTGCTCTATAAGCTACAAGCTGAGCTGGAAGATCTCGCAGAGGGGGACTGTTTTCATCCTGCCCTCTCTTCCTACAGGTGGGGCAAGGGGTCTGAAAGCCCAGCCCCTGGTCACACGGCAGAGCTGGGGCCTGTGCCCTGCCCCTCCAAAAGCCAGCTTCGTCATCCCCTGAGCACTTAGGGGCCCTGTGGCCCAGGCCTGGGAACCATTCAAGACACCCAAGAAATGGAAACTGCAAAAGAAATGTGTTTATTCTTTGAACTTTCTTAATATTTACAAGGAACAAAAATAACAACTGAGTCTGGCTTGTGCAGTGGTGGCAGACTAGCACATGGCTTCTGGGTGGGTTGGGCAGGTTTGAGGGGTCATCTGTTGAACTCTGGCCTGGGGCAGGAGGGGTTGGCGGGGCCCAGGGCTGCCTGAGACGTCACTGCCCCATCCTGCCTCACCCCTGGACATAACAGGCCGAGGCCACACCACTGCACAGCTCAGAGGCCCACCACCCCTGTTCACCTTGAAGGGGAGCCTGAAGTGGGGGCCAGGCCCTCCTGGCCAGGCTAGAGGTAGCCAAAGACGTTGAAGATGGGCGGGGGCACAGCTGGCTTGGTGGGGATGGGCTTCAGGACCACTGGACGGTATACCTTCTGCCCCAGGCCATCCACATCCTTGCAGTAGGGGGCTAGCTCCCCGGGGGAGGTTGGGCTGGTCCTCCATAGGCCCAGGCTGGGCACGGAGCCCTGTGGCAGTGCCCCTGGAGGGCCCGGGTACACGGGCTGTCCATGGTACTGGAAGGGGCAGCAGTTCCAGGCGTTGACACGACCCACCAGGGAGACCCCAGGCATTTTGAGTGGCTCCTTCTCTGCCAGTGCCCTGGGGGACATGGGTACTGGGGCCGTCTCGGGCCCCAAGGTCTCCAAGCCCTGGCACGTTTTCTTACTCTCATAGACAGGTCCCTCCCTGGGGCCCAAGGCCCCCTCCAGCCCCATGGGGAAGCTGTGGGCTGGCCGAGGCTCCTCCCAGAAGGAAGCTGGCAGCTGTCTTTTCCTCATGGGCACCTGGCCAGGCCGGGCAGCTTCTGGGTTCTGCCCCCGCAGGGTCTGCGCCTGCTCCCTGGACAGACTTTCCTCCCTGTC